ACCTCATTGGCCTTCGGGCCCTTTTTCTTGCCATTCTCTTCTCCTTGAGCTTCGGGTAGTCTCTCTTCAATGTCCCTGCTCCTTGCAGAATGCACATTGTTCTTTGTAATGGTGGCCGGCCTCTAGATTTTGACCTTCCTCTATTACCACCTTTCGGATATGGTTTCTACCTCTCGTCGACAAGGCCTCTCCTGAAGTACTAGCGCGGGAAGTCTCCTTGTCTTCCTCCTCAAATCGTAGTTCGTCAAGCAAAGATTAGTCACTTCACTATAGCTGATAGAAATCTCCCGTTCAACAAAGTGAGCACGAAGGTATCATACTCCTCATCCGGTAAGGAGCCCAACAAAATAATCGCCCTTGTACTCATCCGATATCTTCTCATCAACATTCGCCAAAGTCCGACAACACCTTAGTATAGTTGTTCACATGCGCCGCTAGTGAGGTACCTCTGGACATCTGAAATCTAGAAGTCTTCGCAAGCAAGTGCAACCTGTTCTCAACACTCTCTGTGAGATACTTGTTGTTGAGAATTTCCACATCTTTATTGCAGACGTCACCCAATCACATCATATATTTAGTTCCTGTTCAAACAGGACCTGATCACCCCACAAGCGTTCCTATTCATCTTCTCCATATCGCCTCTTCATATTTAGGTGGCCTCTCGTGGACCATGATGGTCTCTTCAAATTCTGAGCATTTAACGCATCCTGTACGTCGCTCATCCACAAACCAAAGTTGATTTTTCCGTCATATTTCACCACACTAATTTTGGTGTTTGAAAACCAACTTGTATTGTACCCGCCATTCGATTTGCCTGCTTTCACCTTTCTCTCCATTGCCGAACTAACTCCAATTGTAGAGGAAAGAACAAATTTGATAGAATTAGGAACCACCCACTAACCCTTAGATCGAATCCAAAATGATCCTAAACCACACAGGAAAGCCGAAATCTCAAACTGGCAACTCTAATGCTATCTCCACCGAAGCCGAGAACTCCAAGAACTATAGCTTCACACAAGAATCTTCCTCCACCAAAAAACCTAGATCTGAAATCTGGCTCGATACCACTTGTTGCGCGCAGCGGAAATTTCGGCAGCACTTCGGCCAGCACAACAAGAGAGTCAGATCGCCAATAAGAATTCCCGTCTCCCAAGGAGACAAGAATCTGAATCGGATATCTCAACCAAGTGAGATATCGGCTCTTCTCTCCATCAGTTCTAGGACTGACCTGTCGAGGATCCTAAAACTATTACAAATCACACAAAAGCAGTTACAACCAATTTTTACGGGTTCGGGCAAATTGCCTACGTCCCGGGGCAGACGGGGGCAAAGATCTACTAATAGAGGAAGCAGATACAACTAGGGTTGTCATCGTCGTGCTCGCCTGGCGTCACCTCAGTCGGCACCTGCATGGATACTGTACCATCTGGACAATGTGGAGCTGCATCGATCTCCACCACCTGCGATATCTCCTCCGTCGGGTCGCTCTCCACCTGATGAGAGCTGGGAAGCTTCAAGATAGAAGCCTCATCAAATGTGACGTCCCTACTCAGAACAATCTTTTTATCAACTGGATCCCAAAGCTTGTATCCCTTGACACCACGCTTGAATCCTACAAATATGGCCTTCCTAGCTCGAGGTTCCAATTTATCAGTTCTAACATGATAATATGCAGGGCACCCGAATACCTTGAGCTGGTCATAGTCATGTGCTGGCTTTCCCGACCACATCTCCATAGGGGTTTTCCCCTCAATCGCAGATGAAGGCAGCCTATTAATGAGGTGGCTCGCATATGTAAGTGCCTCAGCCCAAAAGATCTTCTCCAAACCACTCTGCGACAATAAGCATCGGATCTTCTCCAGTAAAGACCGATTCAACCTCTCTGCCACCCCATTTTGCTGCGGTGTATGACTAACTGTGAAGTGTCTCTCTATGCCCTCGTCTCGACATAGCTGCTGAAAGGGGTCAGAAGTATACTCACCACCGTTGTCGGATCGCAACGTCTTGATCTTTCTCCCAGTCTGCAGTTCCAATCTCTTCTTCCACTCCACAAACAAATCTAGGACTTCACTCTTCTTCGTCATGGTGTACACCCAACAACGCCTAGAATAGTCATCTACAAAAGTGACGAACCAATGTCTACCACCAAGTGATGCAGTCTTGGTGGGACCCTAAATGTCTGTGTGCACGTAATCCAGGATGCCCCTCGTCTGATGAATGGCAGTCCCGAACTTCACCTTCGTCTTCTTGCCAAGAACACAGTGCTCACAGAACTCAATCTTCCCACTCTTGGCTCCCTTCAATAGCCCCTGCTTGCACAATGCCTGCAGTGACTTTTTACCTGTGTGCCCCAACCTATAGTGCCAAAGTCTGCTCATGTCCGCTTCTGAAATAGCCGAAGCAACCTGGCCAATCTCGGTGCTTCCCTTCAGATAATACAAATTCCGATTGCGGACTCCCCTCATCACCACCAATGATCCCTTAGTAACCTTCGCTACAGCGTTTTCGAAAGTCACCTTGAATCCCTTCGCCTCCAAAGCTCCAACTGAGATAAGATTTTTCTTCAGTTGAGGAACAAATCTCACCTCCTTCAACTCACGGACTACTCCATCGTGCATCCTAATCCGCACGGTACCTATCCCACAAACGCCACAGGATTGATCATTTCCCATGACAACAACGCCCCCGTCGACTTTCTCAAAAGATGCAAACCAGTCTCGCCTAGGGGTCACATGAAAGGTAGCGCCGGAATCAAGCATCCAATCTGATGCATCCACATGGTTCACCTCCGGAGTAATCAGTAGAGAAAAGCACGAATCATCGGAATCATCGCCTTTCGCAATGTTCACCTCATTGGCCTTCGGGCCCTTTTTCTTGCCATTCTCCTTCTCCTTGAGCTTCGGGCAGTCTCTCTTCCAATGTCCCTGCTCCTTGCAGAATGCACATTGGTTCTTTGTTAGTTGGTGACGGCCTCTAGACTTTGACCTCCCTCTGTTACCACCTTTCGGATATGGGCTTCTACCTCTCGTCGACAAGGCCTCTCCTGAAGTACTAGCGCGGGAAGTCTCCTTATCCTTCCTCCTCAAATCGTAGTTCGTCAAAGCGTTAGTCACTTCACTATAGCTGATAGAAGATCTCCCGTTCAACAAAGTGAGCACGAAGGTATCATACTCCTCATCCGGTAAGGAGCCCAACAAAATAATCGCCTTGTACTCATCCGATATCTTCTCATCAACATTCGCCAAGTCCGACAACAACTTCGTATAGTTGTTCACATGAGCCGCAAGCGAGGTGCCTCTGGACATCTGGAATCTGAATAACCTACGCAGCAAGTGCAATCGGTTCTCAACACTCTTCGTAAGGTACTTATTGTTGAGAATTTCCCACATCTTCATTGCAGACGTCACCCCAATCACATCATATTTCAGCTCCTGTTCCAAACAGGACCTGATCACCCCACAAGCGTTCCTATTCATTTTCTCCCATACCGCCTCTTCATATTTAGGTGGCCTCTCGTGGACCATGATGGTCTCTTCCAAATTCTGAGCATTTAACGCATCCTGTACGTCGCTCATCCACAAATCAAAGTTGATTTTTCCGTCATATTTCACCACACTAATTTTGGTGTTTTGAAAACCAACTTGTATTGTACTCGCCATCGATTTGCTGCTTTCACCTTCTTCTCCCATTGCGAACTAACTCCAAATTGTAGAGAAAGAACAAATTTGATAGAATTAGGAACCACCCAACTGAACCCTAGATCGAATTCCAAATAGATTTCCTAACCACACGAGGAAAGCGAAATCTCAAACGGCAACTCCTAATGCTATCTCCACCGAAGCCGAGAACTCCAAGAACTAAGCTTCACACAAGAATCTTCCTCCACCAAAAAACCCTAGATCTGAAATCTGGGCTCTGATACCACTTGTTGCGCGCAGCGGAAATTTCCTTATATCCATGCTAACATTGGATCGCTGTAGAACCTTCTTCAAATAAGCCACCTGCTGTCAAACAAATTCTGGCCCTTCTTCTGTCCGTCTGCCGATCTCGCATTCCTTAGAATGCGCTTCGCCTCGCCCGAAGTCTTTGCATCTCAACTCATTTTGATAGCTGAACTTTCAACTCATCCTATAGCGCCGACCTGGAACTTTTCAGAGGCAACCAACATGTTCACTCACATAAAAGTAACAAATAAATGACGCACTCCTTTTCAACTTTTGCTCGAAAATACACGCAAGGATCAACTTGGCTCCGACAAGTTACGATGACAAGCATTAAAAACCATCGAATTCGCCTATACCATTGTCGGAGAGACTGTTCCAAAACCGTTACAATCACTCACAATCTAAACCCTCAAACAAACTCTCTCAAATCCCTCACAAACTCTCTCTACAAAAGAACAAAAAGCCTGCACTTTTCTTCTTGCTGTAGCCAAAAGAGAATAACCGGAAAAACAATTCCTTGCGCTGCTCCTTTGTTTTCCCAGCCGCACAAAAAAAAAAACCTCCTGCAGCCGCAAACAATTGTTTCCGCACAAAGCCCTTGCTCACCCAAAAAGAAAAATACCTAGCATAGGTATTTATATAGCATCTTAATAGTTGGGTGGGCCGACGGGTTTCCGCGTGGGCTTCAAGCCACCCGCGTTCACACGGGGTGTACATCTAGTGCCACCCTGAAAAGAAAGAGGAGAGAATGATTGGTGTGACACAAAGTGTGGCCCGGGTGTACATCTAGTGCCACCCAAAAAAGAAAGAGGAGAGAATGATTGGTGTTGTGTAAATTTTGCTAAACGACAGAAATGTCACTCACAATATTCAATTATTAAGTAACGTGCTTGCGCAATGTCGACCACATATGCGCTTGCCCAATCTCGACCGCACAAGTGACGTGTGAGGCTGTGAGCTAATATCTAAAAACATGCAATAATGCACTTGATCGATCGTAGTAGAGCGAGTACTAAACCAAGGAGCGTGCGTTCATCTATAAATGGAGCCCTCGTCTCCGCAAGTAAAGCGCAGAAGTAGATCGAAGAGCAATGGCTACTTTCCCTTTAGCCTTAGTTGTCCCCCTTCTCCTCTCCTTCACTCTCTCCCCTCTCTCTTCTCATTGTAGTGCTGATAACATCGAGTCAGGAGTACTGGCTGTCCCTTCACCAGTCACCCCCAAGGCTGCCGCAATCCAGTATTGGTATGCCAAGGTTCACAACAACAAACCTCCACCGCATGCCTTGCTCTCAAAACTCTCCTCGCTGCCCCCTCTTGAACTGCTCATCACCGACTCCGACAACATGAAATCGTTCGAAGACGCGAAAAGATTAGAAAACCTCTTTGAGGAGCGTAGGCACAAAGTCGTCCCGCCTCTTTCTTGGAACTGGAACAGCAACGGTATGTTATTTGTTACTTCTATTAAGATGTGTCTAGGAAGTAATTTACGCGTTAGACATTGTATTTTATTAATTTTTTTATGCATTTGACGTTGCATGTTTCTATTGCTGTGACTTTTACTTTGGTATATGTATTTGTATTCTTTGCTAGAGTTTTAATTTTGTAGTCAATATTCTACAAAGTGTGTAGATATAAGGCAGCGTACTCTTCTTTATAATTATTGAAAATGAAATTTTTTAAACCTCTTTCCTCTATATTGACGTACTTAACAAAGAATAAGAAATTAAGTCGCTATTTGTTGCCTTTATTAGAAGATATTATATACTATTTGTTACTTTTATTAAGACGTGTCAAGATTCAATCTGAGTTAGATGTAGTATGCTTCTATTGGAACATTTCTTTAATATATGTTTCTATTATTTTTTAGAGCTTACTTTGCATGTATTTTACAAAGTATATAATTATGAGGTAGTATTCTTTTCTTTGTAACTAATGAGAATATAATTTTTTTATTTCTTTCATTTATTTTAACAGACCCAAGCAAAGAAGCAGAAAGCCTCTATGAGGAGCTTAGGCAGAAAATATCGTCTCTCTGGAGCTGGGATCATAGCGGTACGTATGATCTCATCAAAACATTAAGAAGATTCATTTCCTTCATTAGCAGCTTCTCTTCTTAAGATGTGTCTAGACCCAATCTGTGAGTTAGACGTAGTATGCTTCTATTGGAACGTTTCTTCAATATATATGTATCTACTACCTATTGGAGCTTGCTTTGTAGGTACTTTACGAAGTGTATAGTTATGAGGTAGTGTTCTCTTCTTTATAACTAATGAGAATACAAGTTTTTATGACTTTCCTTTATTTGGACAGACCCAAGCAAAGAATCAAAAGACAGATATGTCGGGCTTAGGCAAAAAAAACCGCCACTCACCTGGAACTGGGACAACAGTAAAGAAGCAGAAAACCATGAGGGACTTCAAAAAGAATCAAAAAAGGATGATAAAAACGGTCACATCCGTACCGACACTGTTATCGACCCACTCGGCGTCTACTTCAGAGTGAGCGATTTGAGGCAAGGCAACGTAATACGTTTTGTTGACTTTAGAGACTACTTTCCACAACAATACTTCTTACCAAGGACCCTCGCCAGCAAGATGCCCTTCAACTCCGCTGCTGCCATAAAAAAATTGTTCCACATTATGCCAGCTGACACGGCAAGCAAGAATGTGGACTTCACCATAAAACACTGCAATATACCACCAAACTTCCCGGGAGAGATTAGGCAGTGCATCACGTCGGCAGAGGACTTGATCGACTTCGTGATCAAGGGTTTGGAGACCGATGACGTCGAAGCACGGAGCACCGAGAGCACCAGCGGGTGTGGGCGTGATGTTTTGATCGGGGGTGTGAAGCTCGTGAGCGAAGGTAATGCATTGAGTTGCCACCAGGTAGAGTTTCCCTACTTGGTTTACCATTGCCATGTAGTTTCCAAGACCAGGGCCTATGAGGTGGAGATATTGGATGTGGAGAGCAAGGAGAAGATTAACCATGCGACTGTCACGTGTCACATGGATACCTCGATGTGGACCCCAACACACGAAGCGTTCACAGCGCTCAAATCTGAGCCCGGCAAGACCGAAGTCTGCCACTTCATCTCCAAATGGGACATCCTCTGGACCTCTACTGCTGATGTGATTGTTGCTGAAGCTTAGTAAATGAATGATAGTTTAACTGTCATGCATATATACATGCTCATGTGGATGGTCGTGCGTGTGTGCTGTAAGATCTATGTGTGGATGTGTTCTCATGCATGCATGCATATGTGCATGCATGGATGTTGTGAGCTGTAATAATTAACAAAACCATTATCTTTTGTGTTAATTTGTTTGCATTTAATGGTTTTATTTATTCTATAAACAAATCTCATGTGTTCTTAATCACCTATGAACACAAAAAAGCAGAATATGATCCCACTGCATGGACCATATAATGCATTATTGTCATGAAAAGTAGAAATATATGTGGGTTCAGTTCCCTAACGTTGCTAAAATCTTTTTCTTTATACATCCGTTGCATTTGAAACAACATATTTGATTGATTGATTGATTTGTTGAAAGATGGAATAGAACAAATACATGCTTGAAATAGAGTCAACCGCATCCCCCAATTGTATTCTAGGATCCACACAACATTGCTTTACTAATTTCAATGACACTTGGTCTTTATAAATAAGAGGGTTTTTTCTCTTTTAGCCCAAAAATTTACCCCCGCTTATTAAAAAACTCATTCACTTATATAAACATTCATAAATACAAAGTATCTCATCCCACTTAATTTTAAACATAGTTTGTATAATACCCTCATTTTTTATATTGTATTTCTCCAATAAATAAAAAATTCATATACCATACCCTTCATCTTCAAATACAATTGCTCGCTCTCTCTTCTCCCCCTCTCTCTTCCCCCTCTCCCTCCTTCATTTCACTTTTCCAAATAAAGCTGATCTTCATAGCTCTAAGAGGTGATTCTTAATTCCAAGAGGAAGGAAAAACAACATCAGCGTGAGTGTGAGCCTAATCAAGGGCGTCGCCGGCAAGGATTAGGTGAGCCACATGCACCTTGGGCACCACGAGCGCACCACCCACAACATGTTATCCTTGTGGCCAAGAAAGAAATCAGATTTTACTTTCGTATCTAAGGTTCAATGAGAAATAATTCAGCTCTTTATGCTGGAAGTGAAGCTCTTTAATGCTAAAGTATAGCTCTTTATTGTCTCTAAAAATTTTAAACATAAAAAAATCGGTCAGTATTTTTTTGAACAATGTAAATGTATGATGATGTGTACAATGTGATGTTTGATCAATTCTTTATATAACTGACATCTACATCTCCACTCTCGGTGATACAATTTTTGGGAAAAGTGTAGCTCACTATGCTAGAGTGTAGCTTGTTATGCTAAAAGTGTAGCTCTTCCTACATTAGTATAGCTCTTTATACCTAAAGTATAGCTCTTTAATGCTAAATTATAGCTCTTTATTCTAAAATTGAGAATAAGTCGAGTTAGTTTTTTCCGAACAATGTAAATGTATGATGGTGTATATAATGTGTTGCTTGATTAATTCTTTATATAACTAACAGGTCCACTCTCATTTATACAATTTATGGGAAAAGTGTAGTTCTTTACACTGAAGTGTAGCACCTTATTATAAATATGTAGCTCTTTATACAATAATATAGCTCTTTATGCTTAAAGGGTCACTCCTTAAAGCTAGTATAGCTCTTTATTATCTCTAGGAATTCTCAAACTGAAAATAAATCAAATTAGTTTTTTGAACAATGTAAATGTATGATGATGTATACAATGTGTTGTATGAACAATTCTTTATGTAACTTACATGTCCACTCTAGTTTATATAATTTCTGGCAAAAGTGTAGCTATTTATACTGAAGTGTAGCACCTTATTATAAAAGTGTAGTTCTTTATACTAAAGTGTAGCACCTTATTATAAAAGTATAGCTCTTTATATAATGATATAGCTCTTTATGCCTAAAGTATAGCAATGTAAATGTGTGATGATGTATGCAATGTGTTGTTTGAACAATTCTTTATATAATTGACATATCCACTCTAGTTTATACAATTTCTGAGAAAAGTGTAGCTCTTTATATAGAATTGTAGCACCTTATAATAAAAGTATAGCTCTTTATACAATAGTATAGCTCTTTATGCCTAAAGTGTAGCTCTTTAAAGCTAAAGTATATCTTTTTATTATCTCTGAAAATTCTGAAACTGAAAATAAATCGAATCAATTTTTTTCTAAACAATGTAAATGTGTGACCTTTGAAAATCACCAATCCTCAGATCATCTCATCTCACGTAAAATCTTATAATAAAAGTGTAGCGCTTTATGCAAAATAATATATACTATTCCAAAAGTGTAGCTCTTTAATACTAAAGTATAGCTCTTTATTGTCTTTAAAAATACAAAAAATACACGAATTAGTAATTTTTTGATCAATGAAAATGAATGACCATGTATATAGCGTGTTGATTCTTTAATTCTTTATATTTGATATGTTTAGTCTCGTTTATATAATGTCTGAGTAAAATGTAGCACTTTATGCCAAAATAACACCTTATTTGTAAAGTATAGCTCCTTATATAGTTGTATAGCTCTTTATAGCAGAAGTGTTGCTTTTTATTGCTAAAATATATCTCTTTATTATCTTTGGAGATGCAAAAAATTTTGAGTAAGTAATTTTTTACTACAGGAAAATCTGATACATTTTTTATAAAGTGTACTTTGTATACATTTCTACTAGATACATTTCCACTAGATACACTCATAAATTTTGACACAACATGATACATTGGATAGTGCATTTGATACAATATACACACAAATCATCTTTATATACATGATATAGAAAATTTCATACAACACGATACATTGGATACTACTTGGTACATCATATTGCAGGCTGTAGTTGATTTGTCGTTTGGGTTGCAATGTGATAGCAATGCGAAGATCTAATCGAATGCTAAGAGTGGGGCATTCTCTTAGGTATTTGGTCGAAAAGTTAGTGTGCATTGACGAATGGTTTCTTATTTGAGGGGTAGATGTGCATTACGTTGGGTGTTGGCAACAATAGAGAAAGGTGAGGAGCAACCAGAGTGCGTAGGAAGACATAGCAGTGGGCTAAGATCGTGGCGGTGCACAAAACTGAACTTCTCTTGGACATTTCATCAAACACCTCTATTGTCTCCTCAACCAACCACGGTATCGCATAACCGCTAATCGTTGTGGTCCAAATAACTATATCACTTTTGTCATTCCAACAAACACCTTCTATGCATCAACCTAGTCACCAAAACTTAGATATATATGAACAAAATTGTTATGCACATACCCTTTCATGAAGCACAAGCTTGATAAGAACCCCTTAATTTATAACAGCGAGACATCTTTGACAAGCTATTGCTAAAAAACCTAAAATTTTAGAATGTTAACATATCATATCTATGAATTTCCCATTAGAAAACTCAAGTTTTCTCAAATCACAAAAATTATTGTCTAAATCTCAAATAATAAAAAGAAATCCATTGTACTAAATACCAGGAATGTCACATTATTATCACTAAACAAAATCAATAATAAAAAGAAAAGGAAGTTGTAGACATAACCAGCATCAAAATCCATAGAGATCCTCAAACTTGAAGCAACGGATCGTTTCCTATTTGCCGGCTTCGAGTAGATTGAGTGGTCCAACTGCCGCTGCTGTCGCCCCCTTCAACGGAGGATTTAGGGAAGAGAAACACGCGGGTTGGCATTAGACTCCATTGCAAGAGATCAAAACCTAAAAATTTTGGGGTTTTTTTCCTGAGAGAGAGGAGAATTAGAAAAAGGAGGCTAATTAGAAAGAGAGAATTAAGTCCTGGGTAATTATTATGGCAGAAGAAGAAGAAGAAAAAGAAGAGTAATTTTGGGGTTTATCTTTTATTTTTTGTATACAATATATGGACATGGTGTATTTGACACTTTGGGTTTATAAATACTTGGGAGTTGTACCTTGGGTGTATGGATCATAATGAGAGTAGGTGGGTTTAAAAATAAGTTAGAGTAAAACTTTAGGGTAAAATACAAAAACCCCTAAATAAGAACACCTCCAAGGAGAGTAGGAGATCAACAATTATGGGTATCTCATTTTATCAAGTCCAAAACAGAGGAGATTATCGCTCCGTTGTAAAATGCGGAGTGCAACCAAAATGGTAGGAGTCCAGACGCTAACTGATACACTGTGCTACTGCGTAGTGGTCTCGCCAAACAGACTGGTGCATTGGCCCCAAGGACAATCCTCTTGTTGCCCAAAGCAAATTGAAGGGGAGGCATGTATTCTTGAAGAATTTACGATGAAGATTGGGGGTTGCATGTAAAGATTTCTGTCCACGGCGCATTTTTTTTCATGTTGGCGGGTTCATTAAGATCTTGTATAACTATGCAAGGTTTTATTTATTTTTATTTTTTTTTCAATTTTGGGTTGAGGGTTGGGGGGTTGGGGGGAGGGGAGGGTGTGGGGTTTTTTGATTTTGGAGCAGAGGATGGGGCGTTATTGAAGGGTGTTTTTTCTTAAAAGCCCATCAAGTACTATAAAATAGTAAAAGAAAGAACTTGGGCCTATGCAGAAAAGAAGGAATCAAGTCTGTGTGTGTCCCTAAGTCAATCGTGTAGCCTAAATGAAAATATAGAGAAAAAAACAAAAGAAATGCAATTGGCCAAGCCCAAGAAAAACATAAAAATTAGATGTGATGAGTTGAGCTCTCCCAGAAATTTAATAACTAAATGAAGTAAAAAAAGAGAAAAAAAAGGAAAAAAGGGCCATCAATTACCCATCAAATCAAACATCTCGTTACTTTATTAATTTATTAATCCTTTCTTCATTCTGTATTAACTGTAAAAGACAACCTTAAGTATTCCCTAATCACCCACTAATACTTCAACCACCAAAACAGGCATAATATCAGAAACATTATCAGCCAGAATTAGTTGATCTCTTATTAGTCCTCCTTATTCAATCCATTTATTAGCTACGTTAAACAAGCAATTAATAATTAAATAAATATCTAAGAACCCATCATAAGTTTGAAAATATCAAAAAACACCCCTTAGCTATAAATTTTATTACAAAACCCTTTAAATTTGATTTTGTCAAAAAACCCATTAACTTTAAATTTTATTAGAAAACTCCTTTAGCTTTGAGATTTTGTCAAAAAACTCTCTAAAGCAATGCTTTTAGGGGATTTTTTTAATAAAATCTAAAAGAGCTTTTTTGGGTTGGGGTTTTTTTTTTTTTTGTTATTACAAAACCCTTTAAATTTGATTTTGTCAAAAAACCCATTAACT